CACAAAAGAGGATGGAGATCAGAGTGTTGTACACCAGATCCAATTGCCTTTAAAGGGTGTGCTCCTGGAGATTTACTAAATACAATGATACAACAAAAGAGATGGGCCACAGGCCTCACTGTAGTCTTCTTTAGCAAGCATTCTCCAGTTATGGGCACTCTCTTTGGTAAGATCCAATTCAGGTCAGGCTTGTCTTATTGTTGGCTTACAAACTGGGGCTCGCGATCTGTCTTCGAAGTTTCGTATGCTGCTCTTATTGCACATTGCATAATTACCAACACCAATATCTTTCCAAAGGTTAGTTAGTGGCAAGTTTATACTTTCGGAAATGTGTTTCTCTTGCATGAGATAATTATATAAAAGTAGATAGGATCCATTTTTTTTCCTTTTCTCTCTCTTTCTTTTTCTTAATGGATTTCACTCACTTTTTTGTGTGTTGCATGAGACGTGCAACATGAGAAAAATCAAACCCTTGTACTTTATAGCACAAACTGTAAAAAGGAGGACTCCATTAGATGAATTTGGAGCTTAATATACTCATTTTATTTTCTCTTTTGATTTTTGATTTTATTCCAGGGACTTGGCCTATGGATTCCTATTGCTCTTTTTGTGATTTACAACATGCATACCCTAATAGAGTACCTTACAACAGGGTTGTCCATAAGATATTGGTGGAACAACCAGAGAATGAGCATAATAAGAACCACAACTGCATGGTTTATAGGATTTTTGAGTGCCATGCTTAAGCTTTCTGGGATATCCGACGCAGTCTTTGAAATAACACAGAAGAAAAACCCAACTTCTGGTGCTGATGTAGATGTAGATGATGCAGATGCTGGTAGGTTCACTTTCGACGAGTCACCAATTTTTGTGGCTGGCACTACCATTTTGCTGGTGCAATTGACAGCACTATTTATCAAGGTTTTGGGGTTGCAACCAACAGCAACAGCTCGGAGTGGAAATGGGTGTGGGATTGGGGAATTGATCTGCAATACGTATTTGGTGATTTGCTACTTGCCATATTTAAAAGGGCTTTTTGCAAGAGGAAAATATGGGATTCCTTTATCCACCATATTCAAGTCATCAGTTCTTGCATTTGTTTTTGTGCAATTCTGCAGAAGCACCGTTATTGGTTGATCACTTGATAGTTGATATTCAATTTCTCTATACATTTTGTTCTCATATATTTCTCAGCATCGATTAATTATTAAATGAATAAAAGGTGACAATTTAATTTGGAGAATATCATCACTTTCTCTTGTTTGTACAATATTTTTAGGATGAATTTGATTTTGAACCTTCTTACCGAATATCTCTTTCTCTTGGAAATTTGAACTCTGGAGCCAAGATATTTTCATAGAGAGAGTATATTGATTGGCCATTGATCCGTTTGGACAAATCTTTGATGCATCAGTACCTCATTCGGTATATTTTTTTTATATTTAAAAAAAAATATCACTTTTGAAAAAAAAAATCTACCATATTAAAAAAAAATTCTTTTAGGGGCAGCTTGTTAGAAGGATTTTTTTAGGATTCTCAAGAAAGTGAAAGTGGTAATCTTATTTATTCACGTTTGGTACAAGATTTTTAACATTTTTTCGAGAATTCGATCTTTCTGGGATTTTATTTTGTGTGTAATTTTTTTTGAAAAAATCATCCAGGAATACCATTCAAAAGGTGGTATTTTAGGATTTATATGACTAAAGAAAATTTAATACAACTAAACATAACATCAAAAAAATTAACTCAATATTTCGGGGAATATGTTAGTCTACCAAACAATTTTTTGATAACATTTCCAAAAAAACTCATTTTCTCATCATATTCCTGAAAATCATGATTTTCGGATAAAAAAAATTTCTCCTCTACCAACCAAACGCCCCATTTAGAAAAAAGATATTCCCGGACAGATATGATACACCGAAGATTTATGGAATCATTTGAGATAATGTGGAGTAAATTTGCTTCATGATTTTGGCAAGTGGTCCCCTCTGTGCAATGACGGGCTCAGAAACTTTTCTAATAGGGGACAAAAAAAAATAAAAATACTAAAATGAAGGTGTTATTGATGTTAATATGAAAGATTAAATATCATTCGAAAAAAAAAATGAGGGAGGACTAACAATTAATAATAATACTCTTTTATTATTATAAAAATATTATTTGAGGAGAGTTATATTTATAAATTTTTGTTTACAAATTATATTATATACTCCCGGAAGTACACTATATATTTTTGAGAGTACATCATATAATTTAAAAAATTTGTAAAAAAAATTTTAATTGGATCATTCTCCATATTATTTTATATATAATAATAAATTCAAAATTTATGGAGAAATGACCTTCCTTCTATCCCCTCCAATACGCTAATACCGTACATTACTCATCCAATAAAGAATCTTTGAAGGGAATATGCCCATGAACCCCTATTGGGTGAGGTAACAAATTACTTAGTGCGAAGAACCGAAAACTAACCTATGAAAGATATTATAATGGAATATTAGCAGTGGTGGAGGAGCATATCGCCTCTCATGTTCATTAAATTTATATCTTAAATTATATTTAGATTAAATATATATAGAGGGGGGATATTTTGACTACCAAAAGTGTCCACTACCACCTTACTAGCTATCAAATCACCATTGGATCAAAGAGAGAGATTGTTAAAAAGTTTTTGAAGAGAGAGAAAATGTTAATCCAATGGTGATTAGATAGGTAGTAAGGTGGTAGTGGACACTTTTGGTAGTCAAAATATCCCCCCTCAAATATATATATATATATATATGAAAAAATATTTCTCAAGTTGCTTGAGACAATATTATTCTGGCCATCCAAAACTACGTCGTTTTGTTTATTTATTTCTTTATATTAATTTATTTACCTTTGAATGATTATGATTCTTTTTTTTTCTCTCTCTTCCTTTATCACTATTGATCCATCTTTGTACGGTTATGATCTAGTAGCCGGAGATAACATTGTCTCAAACAACTTGAGAAATGATAAGCTCATATATATATATATATATATATATATATATATATATATATATATAAGTTTCTCCTCTTCATCATAAAGATCTTCAAATCTGATTATATATGAATTCACAATCATATTGTTAAGCCTTGAATTTTGCTTTTCTTACCAAATTTTGTAGCTTCCTCTTCATTTTTTTTTAATGTAATATATTTGAAGTCACGTAATTTTTTTAAATATATATATATATATATATATATATATATATAAATCAAGTAATTTTACGTAAGTATGAGTTAATTACAAATTTTGAATATACGAATAATAAATTGAATTAAGTATTTGTTCATATCCAATAATATCATATCCTATAATTTTGAGTGAGACACAACACGTGAATCTGCTCGAATGCCGACAAATATTCTGTGATGACCTTTCTCCTCTTTGTCCAACCCTTGCAAGTTGCTACTTATAACGCATTATTTCAAAAAAGAAGGAGAGAAGTTTAATTTCTAACAAAACAGAATATTCATTTCCTCATCTCCCAACCTCATTCTCCCCTCACAAAAAATAAGAATCGAACCTGTTCTGAACAAATTTGATACAGAAAATAATATTCTAATAACCACAAATCTGTGAGAGAAAAAGAAAGATATAATGGTAAGCAGATGGATATATAGTTTAAACATTCTAGATTAATTCGCTAAAAAATTTTCAAGACCATTCCATTCTGACAGTCAAAATTACATTAAACACGACTCTATTAATTTGTCATTTTATGTAGTTTGTTTTTTACTTCATAGAAAAATGTTTGAATATATCTAATTGTATTCAAAAGCATTTATATTTTTGGTTAATTAATGTGTAAGTCTTTTATTTTTTTAAAATAATTGAATGATTTCTGTAGGTAAAGAAGTGTAAACAAATCCTTATAATTTTAAAAAATTTTAAGAGTAAATATCATTTTTGGTCCCTTACAATACCTACGAAATTCTTTTTAGTCCCTGGCAATAAAAAAGGACCAAATTGGTCCCTAACAGTATGTAAAAATGGCCACGTTAGTGACGGAGGAGTTGACATAAGGACTAACGTGACTCTTTTTTCATAATTTTAGGGACCAATTTGATCCTTTTTTATTGTCAGGGACTAAAAAGAATTTCGTAGATATTGTCAGGGACCAAAAATGGTGTTTACTCAAAGTTTAAATTAGGTCTTTGTAAGAACTTAACAAGCAAAAAAAAAAAAAAAAAAGATTCAGGGACTCCATCAAAAAATATTTTAAACTATAGAAATTTATTTATAAATTTTAAAATATACAAGAACTTATATAAAAGCTCGCAAAATCAAAAGGATTTACATGTTAATTTAATATAAATTTTTATACGGTTAGATTTTGGGCTATAGCTCTAGCATAATTGGGTGAGTGAGAATGACCTATTTTGACAGTTTTAATTTTTAAGTTCTTGTAAATTTTAAAAATAGAAGGACTATAAAATTATAATTTTAGGTTGTGTGTAAATGATGCACCCTTAGATTTTAACCCTGAATATACGCATTAATCAGCATATTAAAAAAAGGAAAAAGTGTTTGTCATTTTAAATGACATAAAGTTATGTCATTTTAAAAGAGAGATAGACACAAGAAAATATTTTTTTATTTAAGATTTAAATAAATAAAAAAATCACCCACTTTCTCTCCCATGATTTCCATTCCTTGTGTCTATCTCTCTCTTAAAATGACATAACTTATGTCATTTAAAATGACAAACACCGAACCCTTAAAAAAAATCTTGTTTCGTTTCTATCTCTTCAAGGTGAACTCATATTATATATAAAAAAATATAACGAAATTTAAATGTCAATATCTGATAAATAAATTACATTGGAATCTATAAAAAAAAAATTAAGGATAAAGCTTTTTTCCTTTTTTGTTTCAAACTTCAAGGAGGGGCCGAGACCCATGTGAATGTTTGCCTTTAAAAGGATCATCTCCACGAAGCGTGAAGCAAATTAGTTACAAGGACATATTCACCAATATTTTGTAGTTAGAGTTTCTCATTTATTTATTTTTATCAACATGGCCAACGAAAACACTCTCCCTCTCTATGATAAAATTTGGCTTAAGCACACATTTTCAAGAGTGATGGATTCTTTGACTTTGCTCTTCCTTCTCTTACTTCTTGGTTACCGTGTTTTCTCCTATAACAACACCACCTTCCCTTGGTTCGTTGCTTTCCTATGCGAGTCATGGTTCACCTTCACTTGGGTTCTCACTATTAGCACCAAATGGACTCCTGCACACACCAAAACCTACTTAGACCGTCTTTTGCTTCGGTATATATCTTACGATGCCTTAATGTTATACCTAGTTTTGTGAATGCTTATTTTATTTATTCTTTTTTAATACCGTTAGATTAGAATTTAATTAATTTTTTTTTCTTTTTACGAGATTCTAATATAATGATAAGAATATGTTATTTTATTTATCATTTTTTTTTACTACTTTTGTCTATCACCTTCCAACATCGTCGGATCAGAATCTTAACTAACATTTATCTTTCTCTCCCTTCTTGAGATTCTGATCTAAGATGGTAGATAAAGGTAAGTAAAAAAAGATGATAGGTAGAATAACTATCCTATAATGATATTATTAGAGAAAAGTGTGTAAAGTAAATATGAAAATAGATAAACACAATATCCTATCTCGTATATTAATATATATGTATTAAATGCTTGCTTTTGCTAATTAGTGTGGGTTTATGCAAATATTTATTTCAACAGGGTACATGAGCTTCCACCAGTGGACCTGTTTGTGACAACAGCAGATCCAGTGCTTGAATCACCAATCATCACAGTGAACACTGTGCTTTCTCTGTTGGCGCTTGATTATCCAGCTAATAAGCTAGCTTGCTATGTTTCTGATGATAGTTGCTCTCCTCTTATCTTCTATGCTCTTCTGGAAGCCTCTGAATTTGCAAAACTTTGGGTACCTTTTTGTAAGAAGCATAACATACAGGTTAGAGCGCCCTTTAGATATTTCTCTGATGAGACCAAGGCCAACAACAATGAAGACCTACCAGAATTTAAACAAGAATGGTTAATAATGAAGGTAATTTTATACCAACTAATTCACTTTTTAAGTTTGTTTTAAATTATTTATCTTCCTAAAAAGATTGAATAGAGTGAAAAAATGATTTAATTATATTTAATTATATTTTGAAAAATTTAAAAATTACTTAACAAATTTCTTAAATTTTATACAAATTTCCGTAGTTTTTATTTGGATTTATCTGCCTCTGACCCAATGCCCCCAATCCAATTAAGGTGTTATTGATAATATTGATGTTGATGTTGATACAAAATCTGAAATAGAAGAAGTATTATTCATTTATTTGTCATTTTATATATCCAAAATGAAAGGTACTAAACAAGTGCTATATCATGCAACGGAAAAATAATTAGAAGCTCCCAGAATATAATTTTTTGGATAATGATCTATTTATAAATTTTGTTTACAAACTACATTATGTACTCTCGGGGAAACATAGTGTAACCTAGTGTTCTCCTGAGAGAACATAATATAGTTTGTAAGAGTTTGTAAACAAAAAATTTGTAAATATAACCCCCATAATTTTTTTATGCTTCCACTCCCAATAAAAAAATAATTTCATCATCTTATCCGTGCTTTTTTTTTTTATCCCATACATGTGAGAGCGAGCACTTACATTTTAGGTATAACATAAGTAGGTAATCCATTACTAAATAAGGGAAAAAATACAAGAAAATACCTGTATAGTGACGGAATTGTTATGAAAATTTCGTCGCTAATTTGATCCTCGCTACTATTTTCCGTCGCAAATTCTCTCGCAAACAATTTTGTGAGGAAATTTGTGACGGAAAGTAGTAGTGACGATGAAATTAGCGACGGAATTTCTATAACAATTTCGTCACTATACAAGTTTTTTCTAGTAAAGAAATACCTATAAACATACAAATAATACAAATGCATTACCTTATTTCATGTTTAATAAAAAATGTATCGAATACTTAATGGGATTTGTATTTGTCATTTAATATGACACAACAAATTTTTTTTATACACACAAGATTTTGTGGGCCTACACTTTTTGAAAAAAAAAAAGAAAAAAAAATTATGACACGCAAAACGAATCTCTATAATATTACACAATCACTTTTCCTACAACATAACTCTTATAAAATCCATACTGAATATATTTTACATGCAATGATAACAGAGTCATTAATTTGGTACAAGCTCTCAAATCAACATTTCTATCAGCCAACGTAAGATGAGATTAAGTTTCAGCCAGAGTGTATAGGAAATTTATGTGGCCAAGAAAAAACGAAAGCCTTATGAAAATTCTCTTAGAAAAATTGATGTGGATGTGGGGCTAAGAAAAAAGAAAGCGTTATCTGAATTCTCAGCTCTCCTTTTCCAAAGCTAAATAAACTGCTGGTTTTATGTCTTTATTTGCAGGATAAGTATGGACAGCTTAGCCGTAATATTCAAAATGCAGCCCAAAATTCGATTCCACTTGTCGGAGAGTTTGCTATTTTCTCAAATACACAGCTTAGAAATCATCCCACTATAATTAAGGTACGTACATCAAGTATTATTGTAGCAGACACTCATACTTTTGAAAAGTTAAGAAATTTCAGCAGCAAGAATATATATTTATACAAATAAATAGATGGGAAAAAAATTTAAAAACTGGTCTAACCTCAGTTCAATAAATAACTATGAGCCTACGACTACGGGTGAAAGTGAGATGGGCTTACTCAAATTTTATCCTGAAAAATCCAAATCTATATCAAAATATTTTAATTTGATCTGACTCGATAGTATAATATGAGTCTAACTGTTAGTCTGACCTAATTCATTTATAAAAAAACAAATGGTCTAATCTGTCTCGTTAGCCTATTAGTTTATAACTTCTAAGCAGAATATGAATCAACTTCACAAAATACTCAAATTTGTTATTAAAACAAAAATCACAATTTCAACGTTCAAACAAAATCATGAACATAACAACAACTTGTTATAATCTGCATTTAAGTCACTTTCAAAAGCAAAATGCCCAAACTAAATCACATATATTTTATTAGATCCAACAAATGCATCATAATGCTTGTAATAGCCAAAAACTTCTCATCATCTTCTCTCCCCTGCAAATACAACTTCAAGGTTACATAAGTTGGCAAACAATTTATAAATGTAGAAAACAAAAAACAAGATTAAAGAATACAAAAAAAAAAATCTTTTTATACCTTTTATGTTTTTCTTCAAGCCATACTTATGACGTAGTCAATCTCCACCATATATTAAAGCTTGGATGGTATTTTCTGCCAAGCTAGAACGATAAGCATCAATAACTCTTCCTCCAGCACTAAATGTTGATCTGAAGTTACTATAGAGATTGGTACATATTTTACGACACTCCCAAAGATAGTATTGGTGGGAATCAAACTTAGGTTTTTCCACCACCTACTCAGCTCACATGCATAAACTGAACTAACAGAGTTGGTACTACTATGAAGAATATTATTTAATTTAATTTTAAAAAAATAATATAATATAGGTCACTCTATAGGTTTATAGGCTCAGCATGTTAAAAAGAACTTATAGACTGCTTTCTAAATAGACTTTTTTAAAATCTCAGGCATGTTTTATTTAACTATATGTAATAGGCCGAGACTGGTCTGATATAGGTTAGGTCGTAGGCTCCTGTAGGCCGGTCCGACCCACTTACACCCCTGACTGTGAGACCACATAAAATCTATAGACATATGTTAAAGGTATATAATATGGGTTTTATGTTTGTTATGTTAAAAAATCTAACTCCACATTCCTACACACTAATCAAAGAGGTGGGTCCATATTTTTTTTTCCTTTCATCATTTCACTTTCTCTTTCCTCTTTGTTGTGTGTGTGGGAAAGTGAAGTTAGGTTATATAATATAACAAACAGAAAACTCATATAATATAAGGGAAAAAGGAGTGTCCTTTTAAAGAGAACAAGCTTATGTTCTTTTAGCAGTTTTTAACTATACATTCCCGTGAATACATAGTTATAATATTAAAGTTGTACATTTTTAATTTTTCATGTCAGTAAACAGCTTCTGAAGAGAGAAAAAAAGTACAATTTTAATATTATAACTATGCATTCCCAAGAATGCATCGTTAAAACTGCTAAAAGAACATAATTTATATCCTTTAAAAGGACATTCACTAATCCAATAATATAAATATCATTGATGAGTTTTCACTAATTATAAGTGCTTAAGCTTTTAGGTATATTGATGGTTTACCATGATATCAAAGCACATCTACGGTCACCCTGTCATGAGTTCGATCCATATCATCAATTAACAAATAATTAAATTGTGGAATTTCTAAATATATGTAGGAGAATATATACATTATTCAGCTTTTAAAATTCAATGAATTATCGTACGAGGGAGTGTGTCATGAAGTGTGTTAGAAAACCTTTACTTAAGAGCTTAACCTTGTGTCATGATTGGTTTTCTTATTGAAAGTAAACATCTGGAGAAAAAAAAACTAGGAGTTAGGTTCTGCACTTTTATCACTAACGCAAGATGCAGCACTTAAGAGAGCCTCCAGGCAACAAGGCTGATACATTCGTGATAGCTTGTTAAAACTATTAATATGACTGCTTGCTTGAAAGAAAACCCATTATCAACAGAAACATTTTTCATCGGATTAATTGATAGGTATTATGGGAGAACAAGGAAGGTCTTTCAGATGGGTTGCCGCACTTAATCTATATATCTAGAGAGAAGAGGCCCCAACATCCTCATCATTACAAAGCTGGTGCTATGAATGTCTTGGTAAGTTTTATTTTCCTCTTAATTCTTGGATTTCTTAGCGTCTCTCTCTCTATATATTCTTAGGGCCTGTTTGATGTTACGTATAAGGCATGATAGTATAAGCTTATATTATATGTTATGACATTTTCAATTGTTTGATGTCACCATCGTACAGTATAAGTTTATACAGCATGATCCCTTAATACATCAAAACGATGTATAACTTAATCCGGCCTAAGGGTGATGGATAAGGCTTGATAAGAGATTGGTGTATTAACTTTGTTGACCAATGTAATTCTCAAAAATTAATATATTATTTTAATATTAATCTATTAAAATAAAAATTAATTTTTCAATATATTAATTTTTTAAAATTAAATATTTTTATTTTTATAAAAATTAATTTATATTTTGGACACACTGATCAATAAATTTTTATAAAATTTAATATCATAAGACATTGTTTGAAGAATTATATAAATTCTTTATTAAAGGATATTTTTATTAAAAAAATTTATTTTTATCATATATAGTATTATACAGTGCATTACTAAATATTAGATGATATTATCTTATACAATATATTATTTTATACAATACCGTGCCAAACACTGGATAGTATTAAAATTCAATCAGGTTTCATACAATCAAGCCTTATACTATCAGGTCTTATACTATCAGGCTTTATCTTATACTATGCACCAAACATGCCCTTATATGTTTGGAGGCAATTCTTATATGGTTAAATGTGTATTTTTTTTTACTGTAACATTAAAAATATAATTCAAATAAAAGAATTACGGTGGATTTACATATTTAATAATATATGAAAATCTCTAGTAACAGTATCTTATAAATCAATCCCACATGATCACAAATAAAGATGTTAGTCCTTCTGATCACAAATTTCCCTTCACATGTGTCATGAACAGACAAGAGTCTCCGGGTTGATGACAAATGCTCCGTTTATCCTGAACGTAGATTGTGACATGTATGTTAACAATCCAAATATTGTACAACACGCCATGTGCATCTTGTTAGATTCAAAGGGTGAAAAAGAAGTTGCATTTGCTCAATGTCCCCAGCAATTCTACGATGGAATAAAAGATGATCCTTTCGGAAATCAGCTCGTGGCTTTATTTGTGGTGGGTCAAGTTTCAAACATTGGACAAAAACATGCTGAGAAAGCTAGCAATTAAAAGTTTTATGAACAAAGTATGACAAGTAATAATGAGCACGTGTATAAACAAATTTCCTTTTTTTTTGTTTTGTCTAATGCAGTACATGGGAGGCGGATTAGCAGGACTTCAAGGGGTTTTATACGTAGGAACAAATTGCGTCCACAGAAGAAAAGTTATTTACGGTCTTTCTCCTGATCAAGACATTCAAATTGGGAAAAAGGATCTTGGTGTCACCTATGGTACTTTAGATTCATTATATTCTCATGATTTCAAGCTTTTTGAAGGTAAATTCAGTATATTACTATCTACTTTTCAATATATAAATATATTTTATATTTTATATATTTAATATTTTTATGTCGGAGGCGATCAAGAGGGAAGGAAGCCCATGGCAATGAAACACTATTAATGGATCAACTCAAATCAATCATATCAAGTGGATCCAACCAATTTTATTAAAACCGTTCCAGTCATTAATTCGGTTAAGATATCGGATTACTAGATCACTGGTTCAACTAGCGGGTCACTGGTTGAACCGCATGACCCGCTGATTATATGTAAATCTATAATTTATATTAAAAAATTATAAATACTCAAATAGCTGAAAAAATTATATAAATTCTAAATATTTTAATATAACAAAATAATAAATTATACATTATTGTCCAATAAAAGATCAAACAAACATATAATGCTTGTGATACTAGTGTTTCAGGCTCAGTAAATGACATCTCTAACTATAAATCAAATCAAAATTCTCTGCATAGTTCATAACTAAGATAATATTAGTATTGTAGGTACATAACATATGTAAGACAATAAGCAACTGATTACTCAAATATGTCAATTATGAGTTTTTTTTAATAAACCGGTCAAGTCGCATCGGGTCTGGTACTTGGCCAATCCAATGTGATAACCCAACCGGTCAGATGATCGGTTCACCAAGTTCCAGGTCAACCCGGCCGATCCGGTCCGATTTTTACAACATTGGATCCAATACTAGTCTCAATACATTACCAACTAATATGAAATTTCATCATATTTGAATATCCCAACATTTTACATTAAAAAAATCACTCTCATGATGCCCTAATTCAAGAGTGTAAGGGTGAGAGCAAAATATTACATGTACACCTATACCTTGCATTAGGGTAGATTGGATTCTACCTCATTAGTAATAGGGCCGACAAAACGAGTTTGGCCCAGTGTGTCGACCAGCCCTGCCCGCCAAACAGGACCAGGTGGATTATGTTTTAGAACCCGCAATTCGCTTAACTCGCCAACTCGCCAACCCGCCTATTTCTTTTTTCTTTTCTTTTTTACTCTATATCTTTCAAAAAGGGGCAGGGCGGGCCAAGTTTTTCATCCCATTTTCAAAAAACGGGACGAGACAAATTGTCTCATTTTTTGACTGGTTAATAACAGGGATGAAAGGGTCGCACGTTTTGCCACCTCTATGACTTCCTGGTTATCAAAGATAGTTACACTAATGCACCAGTCTCGCCTTTTTATTATTATTTTTACATTAAGATTAAAAAAAAAAATTATTTATCAAAATTACTATCTCACTGTATACTTATTTGTGCAGAAAATGAGAGAGTATTTGGAACTTCAAAGGAGTTTGTCGAATCGGCTGGCTATGCTTTGAAAGGAAAGACATTTACTCCAAATGATAATCTTTGCAACTCTCTTGAGGCAGCAAGCGAAATTACTAGTTGTGGATACGAATACGGCACTGCCTGGGGTAAACAGGTGGGCAACAAAGACAATATATTCAAATGCATCATAATAGAAAACCTGTGGATACGAATAAGTACATGAAATTGGTTCTGTTTTTTAAAATATTAAACTAGAAATTCGATTGCATCATAATGGAAAAACATATATGTTTTTAATTAATAATAAGGAAATACAGATAAATAAAATGTTAAAAACTAATTTAAACTTTTTTCAATATATTATTGCCTTTATTTTATTTAATAATGTATATAGTTAAAAACTTGGAATCCAAATACTTACCAAAAGCTTGAATGTAAATTAATCTTTGTTGTCAAATGTTAGCTCCAAGTGTATAATTTGACAACATTAGGTGGGCTGGATATATGGATCAACATCAGAGGATGTACTTACTGGGCTGAAAATTCATACAAAAGGTTGGAGATCTGAAGTTTGTTCACCAGAATTGATGGCCTTTATGGGTTGCTCACCTCAAGATAACATAGGTCACATGGGCCAACAGAAGAGGTGGGCCTCAGGCATGCTTGATATCCTCCTTAGCAATCACTCTCCAATTTTTGGCACACTTTATGGCAAGCTTCAATTCAGAATGTGCTTGGGCTATCTTTGGTTCTGTGCTTGGGCCTTACGATCTGTCCCTGAAATATGCTATGCCGCTCTCCCTCCCTATTGCATCATTACCAACTCCACTTTCTTGCCTAAGGTAACAACAAAACTTATAGAACTATCACCATTTCAACATCACATTCATGATACCAACTCAATTTCTGGCCTATTATGAATTGAAAACACATTCAAACCTAATAGAACTTTCGATCATTTAGACCTTTTTTTGGCTATGCTATGCTTGTTTGGGTAACTAGAATATAGAAAGATGGAAAGTGTTGAGATATATAGTCCCACATTGGTTAGATGTGCAACTAATGTGGAGTTTATAAGGCCTTAGGCACTCCCACCCTTTGAGCTAGATTTTAGAGTGGTGTATCCCAAGGTTCTTTACATGGTCTCAGAGTCTTACCGTCCCCCACTTTAAAGTGGAATTAAAAACAAAAAAGCACAAAAAGGTAAACCAAAAATTGGGCCTGTGCATAATTCACGCTTCAAGCCCATAGAGCACTTGTGTGAGGGGACGTGTTGAGATATATAGTCTCACCACATTGGTTGTATGAGCAACTAATGTGGAGTTTATTGGTTGTATGAGCAACTAATGTGGAGTTTATAAAGTTTTGGGCACTCCCACACTAGCTTTTAGGGTGGTGTATAAAGTGAATATATAATTTTAAATATATATCTCTCTCTCCAATGCTAAATTATATATTATATACATTGATGTTTTTGGCACAACTTTGATAGTGATCATATATATTCATTTAAAATTTTATTTCACAATTATAAAGCGTGAGAGAGAGAGATATGTAAACTTGTGATTGCTAGCTTAGTGCATTTTTTTTTAATTCTTTTTATGGTATATACAACTATAGAAGTTGAAATTACCTAAATTTTGTAACATTATTCCACATATAGTTATTTAATGCATAATTTTGAATGCTTCAATGGTGCGTAAATGATGGCCATATATACAGGAACCCGACCTATGGATCCCAGCTACTTTGCTTGTGATTTACAACATATCTACTATATATGAGTATTTGAAAACGGGGTTGTCAATTAGGACATGGTGGAATAACCAAAGGATGGCAAGAATAACAGCCATGAATGCTTGGTTTTTTGGATTTTTGGCAATACTAAGTAAACGATTGAGGATATCTGACACAGTCTTTGAAATAACAAGGAAAGACCAGCCATCTTCTGGTGAGGGTGCTAACGAAAACGCTGGTAGGTTCATTTTCAATGAGTCTCCAATTTTTATACCTGGCACAACTATTTTGCTTGTTCAACTCACAGCATTAGTTACCAGCTGGTTGGGATGGCAACCACCGGTTAGAAATGGGCATGGATCTGGAATAGGGGAAGTTTTCTGCAGTGCATATTTGGTTATATGTTATTTGCCATTTTTGAAAGGGTTGTTTGGGAAAGGAAAGTATGGGATTCCCTTATCCACAATATGCAAGTCATCACTGCTGGCTTTCCTCTTTGTGCACTTTTGCAAAAGTACCATTACGGGTTGATCATATACATTCATGTGGTGGTCATGAATGTATTCAACTACTCGGTTTCTTTGCATTATGCTTACATTGTGCAAATAAAGTTCGTGTAACATGGAAGACATCAAGTTTTTCTAACAAGGGGTGTTGATTACTCTTAACCAACTCTCTCTTTGGATTCTCTTATTCAAACACCATAGCAAATAAGCTTATTAAAATCCCTTTTTTTTTACTCTTAACCAACTCTCTCTTTGGATTCTTTTATTTTTAACTTCTCTTCTCCTTAAAAGAAGAAGCTAAGTCGAACAAATTTTGAGAAAAAATTCTTATAACGAAAAACTCTTCTTTTTATAAGGAAGAAAAAAGTCAAGAGCTCCTACAAGAATCTTTTTTTAGGCTCTTATTATTTTTTCTTGAATTGTGTTTTTTTTTTAAATGAAGAAATAGAGAGAAAGATAGGGTTTTCTTGAAATGTGTTTTTAAGCTAAAAAATTTATATAATAACCATACAGCTTTTCACTTCTTTTTTAATTTTTTTTTTAGTTTTAAGTTAAAAGTAGCTTCTGACTTAATAAAAAGAGAATCTAAACAGACTCGTACTAGTATATCGTTACCTTATTCTCTCTACTAAACTGGCCCATATATACAAAAAAAAGATCCGTGATTTATCAAGCTTAAGTTTTACTAAACCACCCAAAACAAGAAAAATTCAAATTGAAGTTGATTGAACAAACTATATTTGAATAGATAATCCAAGAAAAGAAAACTGATTAAATAAAAAATTGGAAGGTAAAATTAATGGCTTTAATATTTCTATAGTGAATGCAGATAAATTATCTATATTCACTCCCAAAACGACATCGCTTTTGGTTGAAAAATTAAAAAATTATAATGAGAAAGACTATTATAACCCTGAAATAAATTATAATTACAAAAATACTTTAATTTTCACCTCAAAGCGACGTCATTTTGGACTCAATGTAGATAACTTATCTACATTGACTACTGATAAACCTTTAGTTTATCTTGTTTAATGGACTAAAATAATATTAATTATCTAGTTGAACAAGTCAAAAATTAGGGTTTTAAAATGATAATCATGAACATTATCTGATTGTTGGAACTAATTAATATATTTGTTATTTTTAAAGGGATTTGATAACAAATGATTCAAATATGAAGATTTAGATAAAGAGAGATCAAATCAGAAAAGAAGATGAATCAAGGTGAAAACAATAAGATTGAAGATCTTATCAAGTTGTTAGAAGTGGGAGCTTAAGCCCCCATTCACAAGCTTAAGCGCCCAGACAAGTCCAACTTAGGCTCATTCAAGTTTTCTACTGCAATACGAACTTTTGACCTATTTAAAACATCATTGGGGACCATAAATACATAACTTATACATTGCAAAACAACTTTTGGGTGCTTGGAGGCTGAAGGAACGCGGAGGAACATCAGATTCATGTTCGTGAGCGGCGGAGACGGATCAACGTCAAGTGTTCACTGGAGATATTTAAACCAACTTTATAATAAAAGTGCTTCTTCTTCTCTTTTTTTCTTAAAAAAAATTTAGCTTTTGGCTAAAACAAACTAGCCCTTAACTAAAGTAAGTAACCAACCTTATCCGGCAGTGATCTTAAATTTGATATGGATTTTTAAATAATTTGAAAAACTGGACTGAATTTTAAACTGATTAAAACCCTAAATATAATCAGTTAGTTAGGATTCAACTATGAGATTCCACTATCAAATAAAAAAGAAAGAGATTAAACGGATTCATAGAATTTCGTGTCACTCCAAGATATCTATCTATCTATATTGCAATTATAACAGAATGGAGAAGTTAGGCAAAGCAGTGGCCAATGAAGAAGCAGCTTCTTAGCAATTGCTATTGCCGACTTCTGTAACCTTCAACTAATCTTCATTTTATTTCACACTTCAATTCTTTTTTCTCTCTCTCTACAAATTTCATTCGGTTCTCAGAGAGAGAGAGAGATATGGGTTGTAGTGGGGTTCTAGTGAGGGTGGGTTTGGGGGTGGTGGCGCTTTGCATTGCAGGTTACATAGCGGGTCCCCCTCTCTATTGGCACCTCATCGAAGCGGCGAAGTACTCTTCTTCTGGTTGCGGTCCTTGCCTCTGTGATTGTTCTTCACAACCCATGATTTTGATGCCCCAAGGTATTTTCTTTTTTCTCCCTTCATTCTCTATTTCCCTATCTGGGTATCCACATCTCATCTCAAAGTTAACAACTTTGCCATCACTTGCTGATTTAGAGACTTCCTCACCTGCTGAATCACTAAGTTCAAGATATCATCAATTTGCTCTTTCCTGCAGATAACAAGGCCTATTACTGTTTTGATCAAGTCATGTGTTTGGGCTTTGGATCTAAATATAGAAACTTTGTGTGATCTGGTTGTACGGTGTTTAATGTATTTACTTATTATTGTTACTATTATATTGTTTTGATCAAGTTCGTCCTTCATGTTCGGATGGCTGCTTCAGTAATTTAAAATCATGAAAATTGTATTTATCCACTGGCATAAGCAATTTCTATTTTTATTTTATTTTTTAAATTAACTCGACCTTAATTACCTCTTTAAGCTAGTTGGCTCCTAAGCTTCGACTCTTTGAGTCGGAAATAGGACTAATTCAGAGTGCGAAACTAATAAGGGATGAAGATATTTAAATCTCGAATCTAAACTCTTTTATTTCCACTTATTGAGCTCTCTAGCTACTGCCGATTAAGCTACCACCGTTTCTATTAAAATCATTAAAATTATTTATTTAGAGCAGTGTTACTGAAAGAGGAAAGTCTTAATGAAGTGCTGAGAGTTGTCAGAGTCTGAGATAATTGTGATTTGTGAGTGAGTCCCTTTATAAAAAAAACTCAGTCTACTGCGCCCCCCCTCCCCCAATTTTTCAACATATTTAACCAAAGCTTTTAATTTGATATTAGAAAAAGACCTTTTTCTTTTGCAAATTGCCTATTGCTTATCTAACTCAAAGCAGTTAAAAGTTGCAACCATATTAATCCGCGCATTCACTTCAAAATGATGAGCCACAGTATCCCTGCATAGCCTATTTATATTTTCTATTAAAATAAGTGCTGACCTAAGCACAATAACCTATAAATACTTCTAAAGCCTTTGCTTATCACTAATAAATTTGTAAGTTATTTCATTTATTTTTGTAATATCAAAGCAATTCTAGCTCCAATTGGAGACCGTTTTTTATTCTTGATTTGCTGCTCCTTTTCCTTGATCCAACAACAAATCAAACATGTGCTTATTTCATTTTATTTTATTTTTGTATTTCTGCAGGGCTTAGCAACACTTCATTCGGAGGTTGGTTTCTATTTCCTAAATGAACTCCAATGAAATATCTCACTTGGTGTACTGTACATAAGTAACCCTTTCCTTATTATCACAGCCTCTCTATCACTCTATGTGAAGCACACTTGTATGATGGTAGGAGCTGAAGTAACATAGTTAGTCTCACTTTAACTAGTTAGCTAGTTTGCTGTTTCTCCTTAGATTAGGTCAACTTTTAACGGATAAGTATCTGCTTGAAGATTTCATGAAAGCTTAAGAACATAATTTCTATTTTTCCTGCAGCTGTATTGTCACAAAAATATTGTTTTTATATCTGTCTGTCAATTTTCATATTCAACTCATTTTACCAACTGCTGTTTCTTTTCTTGATTAATCGAATTGTGATCTAGATTGTGCAAAGCACAACCCAGAGGTGAATGGGGACACTGAAAAGGACTTTGTGGAGCTATTGTCAGAAGAACTAGAGCTACGAGAAACTGAAGCTTCGAAAATTCAACAACGTGCTGGCATGGCTCTGCTTGAGGCTAAGAAGATTGCTTCTCAGTATCAAAAGGAAGCAGATAAGTGTAATTCAGGGATGGAGACATGTGAGGAGGCAAGGCAAAAGGCTGAAATGGTATTAGTGGCTCAGAAGAAGTTGACTACATTGTGGGAACTGAGAGCTCGTCAGAAAGGATGGAAAGAAGGGGTTGCCAAATCTCATACTACTGCTTAGTCTTAGACATGGTATTGCCTCCGTAGTGTTCATGAAAAATCATAAGTCTAAAAATGCAATACAAGTACTGTTGTATTTCTAACCTCCATTTTTGGTATATATTACACACGGACGACTGTTCAAAGCAGGGAATTGTTGGGTGATTGGGATAAACTTATTACATTAAAAAATTTATGACTACTTGTTTCTGAAAGTTCTGGTTTGAAAGCTAGTTCTGATTATTGCTTAAGCTAAGAGTTAAAACAATTTAATGATTCATGGTATCATAATTTTTTTATTTAACATTTAAAGCCGGTCTTCATTTAAGACATTTCCCTCTTCAGCCTACGTTATAATCAAATAATTAAATAATAGAGATGTTTACATAAACTTGCATTTATACGCTCTATTATAAGTAGTTATTAAATAATAATTAAACTCGTAATCACATGAGCAAACACTCTTTGATTAAATACAACATCCAGAGAGAAAACACGTATTTATCAGTCTCTGATAATACGCAGTTAAAAAGCAATCCTCAATCGTGACCCTTCATTTGGCCTTTTGAAGGGCAGTGATGGAACTGGAATCCCCTTTAATGGAATCGTACCTGCGCAACAAGTAGGCCACAATCAAAGCCGCAGTAAAGGGAACAATGTCTTTAGCAGCACACTGTTTATTGGACCCGCTGGGAGACCCGGTTTGAGGCCCATTGGACCAATACAAGTAGTTCAACAACTGGGCCCCTTTCTCCTTCGTGAACCGGTCCGGTTTGAAACTCTCCGGTTCATCGAACACGACTGGGTCCCTCATTGCCAGCTTCTGGTACCCACACAGCAGCTCACCCTTCTTCACATCGAACACCGAGTCATGCGAACTGAGCCGGAAATCCTTCCTGGCTCGACCGTACTGCAGCGGAACCGGCGGGTTCAGCCGGAGAGTTTCGTAAACCACCGACTGAATGAGCTCCATCTCTTTCAGCGAGTCAAACCCCAGAGTTGACCCGCCCTTCTCCCTCGCTTCCTTCCTCAGCTTCTCTTGCAACCCGGTCGAGTCACTAGCTATGGTGTCTATCAGACTCGGAAGGAAAACCGAAAACCCACCGAACGCGTTGAAACCCAAGATGAAAAGCAAGTTGTGGATTGTCTCATCTTGACTCAACCCAAACTCGATTTCACCCCTCTTTATCACTTCCTTGCCTGTTAATCGTTCATTGCCCGTCAAATAAAATTAACCAAAGTTTCATTTTTTGGCATCATGATACTATGGGTGCATACGAAAATAAATTTTCACGTTTTTTCAGGGAAGAGTGTATTATTTTGAAGGATATAAAGTTGTGTCAGCGAGAGAAATAAATAATAGAAAAGAAAGTGAAGAAAAAAAGTTATAAAAATGTGAGTCTCACTTCTTTTTGTGAGTGTGAAATAAGGTAAGATGTGTCATTTAATCGGTTAATCATATCTTGATTATTAATTAAATCACATGAAAATAAATATATTAGTAGTTTATCCTAATAAAAAAATAAAAGAATGTAAAAAAAAAAATTGAATGTGCAAGTAACATAATTAAGTAGAAGAAGGGTATTTATTACCGTGTAGTTTGACGAAGTTGTAAAGGTTGTTGTAGTCTCCACTGACGAGGAAGGAAGGGTAGGCGAAGGAATGGAGGAAGATTTCTTCGAGGGGTTGGAGGATGCCGATGCTGACGGTGGGGAGGATCTGAAGGGCGAGCCAACGGTCAAGCATGGCGTACCCTGAATCGGCGATTTTGGAGTCGCGTGAAGGGTCCGCGCCGGTGAGGACTTTGCAAAGGAACGCGAAGAGGAATTTCTGGAGAGGGAAAAGGTAGCTTGCAGATGTGGATTTCGAGAGTGTTACTTCGATCTTGTCCCACATCAGGTCCAGGTTTGATACCAGCTCCGATACCCATATGCCGGAGCTTCGTTTCAGGATGTCCATGGAGAAATTCTTCAACTACATGTAGTATTTAAGTAAATGCTGATTACTGATGGATGACCCTTAAACACTGTTTGTCTATTGCGGATTAAAAATATTATTTGTGTCTTTTTATAGATTTAAAATAAAAGGTTCAATCATGCTATTCATATTTTGTTATTATTTGACTAAACTAGTAGTCACACTTGTATTTTTACTTAATCAAATAGATATTTATTCTTATCTTTTAACCGGCACCTGATTAACAAGCTGATAAGATTATGTAAAATAAAAAATATATATAATGCAATAAATACAAATATATTAAGTAAGGTGAGAATATATTGGGTAGCGTGCAGATATATTGGTATCAAATATTGATATCTTATCATGTTGAATCTTAATCCAACTGCTCTCATAGGATAAGAAATCATGTATGGGATAGGATAAATGAGACAATAAACTAATCATATCATATTGACACACCAAACAAGAGATAAAAATAAGATATGATAAGTTATCTTATCCTTTTTTTTTATCAGATGCTCCAAATAGGCCATGAAGGTCTACATGGGCCACTACATCAATGTTAATTGTTTTTTCTATTCACTATAAAATTACCAATGATATTTAATTTTCCATATATCTTATAGGAGGGATTCATTACACGTGTAAATGGGCTAGGCCGGCCTACAGGGCTTACGGCCTAGCCTATATTAGGTCAGACTTGGCCTATTATAAGTAGTAAAATAGAATGGACCTAGGTTTTGAAAAAAACCTATTTAGAAAAAAAGGTCATGGGCTCTTTTGTACATGTCGGACCTATAAGCCTACAGGCCGGCATATATCATATTATTTATTTAAAATATAATCAATAAAATTATTATTTAATAATTTTGAATAATAAAATAATATTATTTTAGTTATTCATTTAATTGTTGAATGTTTAATAGGCTTAAACAGGCTAACAAGTCTAGGTCAGTGCTTTTATTGTTTGAATATAGGTCAAGGTAGACTTGTAATTTAGAGCTTACACAGGCTAATAGGTCAGGTCATACCCAATATTTTTTACACAGACTTAACCTATTTAAGTCCAAGCTTAGTCCAGTCCATTTACACCCCTAATTACACCCAGTTTCGTATCAAACAAGAGTCTCGCTACTTACAAATGCAAGCATCGACAATTTTAAATTAAAAAAAATTATATAATGCAAATTAAATATTAAATTAAAGTATTAATTACGTAAACTAACCCAATTTAAGACAATTAATCATACTAAACCTTCAGCATTATCATGTTGTAACTGTGAATAGTACATGTATAAAGTATAAACCACCCATCTTGTTCTATCAAGTTCAACTTGAAAACGACTTTCACAATTCTCTAGTCCCTACAACTCGTGTCCGTACAAATGCCCAATTACTCTACACGTGAAAAAAATATAAATTAAAAAATTAAAAAATACGGTACATATTATTATAATACGAAAAGTGATATCTTACTTCTTAATCTCAATTATGAAAATGGAAATTTCCAAATAAAATTCAGATTGTTATTCTACAAACCAAAACTTCAATTTCTTAACCTGAATTATGGAAGTTGATAATTCCGAAACAAAATTAAAAAAATAAATAAATGATTGAGATGAGAAGAAGAAGATGAAGAAGAAAGTGTGTGTACCTTGGGATGTTGAGGTTCAGAAGTATCCTGGTAAACGCCGACTCTGATGTTTCCGGTGAAGGCGACGCTGGGGACATATTCTCCGATCAGAACATCCTTCTTGTCGATTAGGTCCATATCGAAGAGGTGCGAGAAAGACTTGGAATCAAGTAGAGCGATGACGCTAGGGTTCACGTTCATGAAGAAGGGGAACGATGGAGGAACATTGGTACGGAACACGCTGCTCTTGTACTTATCCATTCGCTTTCTGAAGAAGCTCTCTGGTTTCTGGAACCAGAAATAGTCCAGCCGATCTGACATAGGGCCCAGCATCGGCCACCCGTAACTTCCCGGAATCTGCCGGATTGGAAGCTCCGTCGGCGGCGCTGCGAACGGAGTTGCCAGCGACGACGGTGGCGGCACTGGTGGCAACGACATGGCTGGCGAAGGAAATGGGGAAAGGGTTGGATAGAGTTAGTTCACTCACACTTTATGGTTTTAGCTTTTTGTATTGAAGAGAAATTAACGGAAGAGATAAAATATTACTTAGTTATCTTCTCCAATATTATTTATTTTTATTTATTTATTTTAATTTTTTTGGGGATGCTATGCACTATGCAGTATGCATTATTGAAATTCAAGTCTCGTGGACCATGTGGTGGGGTCATGAATGTAACATGTGTTTTGGGTTTTTGCATTCTTGCTATCGAAGAGTCAATGTCTCTTTTACAATGTAGTGCAAGTCATACGTTCGTTGATTGTATGTATGTGCCAAATTCACTCTTAAATCTTAATTGGGGATAGTGGTTAATTATTGCATTTTAATTAAATAATTATGTATTTATTATAATTTTGAAAATAATTATGAAATTATTGCACACTGTGACGCCTCAGTGAGACGCCTCATCCTAAGGGAAGACGCCCCAATGGGGCGTCACATGTGACGCCCAAAAGGAGCATCTTATATGTGCTCTATAAATTCCCAAATTTTACCATTTTACTCCTCACTTTTTCACCTCTCTCTAACCACGGTTCGTAGCGAAGTTCTGCCAACTTAGGTAAGTTCGTAATACCTGCTATGTATACGTTTAAATTCTAGTTCGTAATACATGTTTGGATTGATCGTATATTAGAGACTTAGAACATTAGGATAGTCACTTAGAAATTTTGTGCCAAGCTATAAATGTTGTAATGATATATTAATTTTTTTGTTACGTAGTTATTATTATTAATATTTAATTATGCATTGGGGTTTAGTGTATTAATTAGTGATTTAGAAAATAGTGATAGTGACTTCGTAAATTTTGTATGATGTTATTAATGCGGGAGTGTATTGATAATTTTGTAGTCAGTTAGGTGTGATGATTAGTACATATTTATGAAGTTATTAGTAACCTAGGGTTAAGTATTCTGTAAGTATAATATTATTTTTGTTCGATGTTTTATTATTATTTAATTATCAATAAATGATTGTACTACGTTTTAACATTATTTCATTAATTTCGATTCTAGTTAAATAAATGATTATATGCTTAATTTTTGTGATAATAAATTATGACATTGCTTAATTAATTTGTAAATAAAATAGGGCATTACATGTGATTAATTTCAATGTTGTTTTATATGATATAGTTTTGGGTAATGGCTGATTCATCATCTTCTTCGGGTTCTACATCGAATGTAGAGCCTACCGATCCCAGCATGCACATCATATCTGGGCCTTACAGATGGGACGTCCTTCTTAGGAGGATGCAGCGTGCCCATATTTCACAGCGAGTGTGAAATACAGAGCATGTCAGGAAAATAAAGACCAGGCGTGGGAAGCCACAGGAGGGCTACCTACCGGCGCTATCCCAGAGGTTGTCGCAAACTACCTCACACAGGCTGGATTTATACATGTTTCCTGGATGCGACATATCCAGGTATGCAATTTACGTCGTTTTGTATTTATGTAATTATTCAATACCATTCGTTAACACGTGATAATTGCATAATTTATCATAGATCGATGCCCCTTTAATTAGTGCTCTGGTCGAGAGGTAGAGACCAGAGACACATACTTTCCACATGACCCAAGGTGAGATGACTATCACCTTGCAAGATGTGGCAGGCATATTGGGCTTGCCTACTGGCGACATTTTCGTCACCGGATCTACCTCCGAGGATTGGCCCGCTGCTTGTGGGGTTGTATTTGGCGCGGTTCCACAGGCCAATGAGTTACATCATTCAGGCGACCTCCGCATCTCATTCTTAGATCGGTTATATACCCGGTGGACTGATCATGGCGGGGATCATGATGCCGAGATCTACTTCACAAAGTCGCACATTGCCAGGATGTTGGGGTGTTGGTTGCTCGCGAACAAGTCTGAAGGTAGCAATTTCGGTTGTCGGCTAGTTCTGTTGCTTGGGGGAGGATTTGATGAGATTGGCCGATTCAGCTGGGGATCTGTGGTTCTGTCACACTTGTTCAAGAATTTGTGTGAATTGACAGATGCCGGTCGATCTGACATGGGAGGTTGCCATATTCTCCTTCAGATTTGGGCATGGATACGATTCCCACCCATTGCTCCGCCGCTTCCTCCTCATCCAGAGCCAGGCACGCATTATGGATGCCGGTAAGGGAAATTAAACATATAAAATTTCGCTAATGATTTAAGCTTATACTATCTGTATACTTCTTGATTATGATTGATGATGTATGTTTCTGATGACAGGTTTAATACAGTAGCAAAGTTTAAACCTCATGAGGTCACTCATTATCGGGCAACATTGGATACACTATGTAGAGATGAGGTAAGGTGGTGGATACTTAGTATGTTGTTATTTCATCATGCGTGTATATTAATTTATAACTCGTTATATTCAAACCTCATTTTGTGTGTAGGTGGTGTGGCAACCATATTTCGATTATCAGTGGCTGGACGTGACTGCACACCAGCAGTACCTTTGGCTTGCTGTCAGTCCTCTTATTTACTTCCACACCATAAAGGCATGTCAACCGGATAACACTACTAGAAAAAACTTGTATAGCGACGTAATTGCTATGAAAATTTTGTCGCTAATTTCATCCTCGCTACTACTTTCCCTCGCAAACGATTTTGCGAGGGAATTTGGGACGAAAAATAGTAGCGAGGATGAAATTAGCGAATGAATTTCTATAGCAATTTCTTCGCTATACAGGTTTTTTCTAGTAGTGTAAGTGCACGCGGCAGTTTGGTCTGGATCAACCCATCCCGGATGTGACTTTATCATATTGTTATTGAACCTGATCCTGAGACCGAACCATCAGTGCATGATTCTTTTTTGCTCTGATAACTCCAATCAATGTAGGAATAATGCAGAATTTCTTCCCAAAAAGGAATAACAGCTTCGTCACCTGCAACTGCGGATTATAACTTTTTAATACAAATTTCCTAATTCAGGTATTAAATCAGGTATCTATTCAGCTATATACACATTATTTCAATTGCCTTCATGATGAATACCTAATGGGGCAGACGCAACGTCATGCAACTGCGGCATTTGCGCGACCATTGGTTCATGGAATATTGGGATTTGAGACGCAACCATCTCAGCACCTTCATCTCCTTCGGAAGCACTAGCATCATCCGCCAAAAGACGTTCTTCTATTGCGATATTTTCATCATTATTGTCGTCGTCTTCGTCGTGCCTTTCCCAAGTCGGATCATTTTCATCTCCCTCAGAATAGTTACCAACTGGAGACGCATGAGCGGCAGACGAAGATGGAAGATGGGGAGAATTTAAATCAATTGACCTCACCGGTAAGGGAACATTCTCGGTTGCGGCGATGTCGACATACAACTCCAGAAAATCTGTCCTTGACTGGTTGAAAATTTCTTCTAATGTCATCTCCACGTCTTCATCGTCAACCACTTGCAAACTAATGTATTTATCACATTGCCATAACCTTGTCGTGATCTGAGTGATACATTGGTTGCCTTGAAGACTTAACTTCTGCCGAATTCTCTGATGCAGTTCGCTAATGGTTGTGTTGCGTTGGATACGTGTCAGCCTTTTTTCACCTTCAAACATGACACCTCGTCGACCTTCTACCTTCCTACCATTGTAATATAACACAACACGAACAGAATCAGGACGTGAACTCATTCTTAAATAGAATAAGAAATAAAATTCAAATACTAAATTAAAGATAAGTATGTATGATGTTAGGAATTTTCATAGAGAAGAGATATGAAGAGTGAGAGAAGAGGTGTGAAGAATGAATAGAGAGGTGGAGGATTATATAGGGTGCACAATGTGACACCCAAAAGTGGCGTCACATTGTGCAGTAGATTTGTATTTTTTTTGCAAAACTGTCATAAATGTGTAATTATTTAATTAAAATACAATAAATAAATTTTTTTGCCGGGAATATTGGATGATATTTCTCCTTTAATAAGATGAAAAACGTTTACGATTTAATTTTCGTCTACCCATAGTATACAAAAAAAAATTATGGGAGAAGTGTTTATCATTTTAAATGACATAAAGTTATGTTATTTTAAGAGAGAGATAGACACAAGAAAATATTTTTTATTTTAAATTTAAATTAAAAAAATCATCTACTTTCTCTCCCATGATTTTCATTCCTTGTGTCTATCTCTCTCTTAAAATTACATAACTTATGTCATTTAAAATGACAAACACCAAACCCTAACTTTATACGATAAATAATATTGCATATTTTTTTTTTAATATAATCTGGAAGGTATCCCTATTCAACCTCTTCCGATCATTCAGTGGGTATATTGAGTTTCACTACCAAAACAAGGATGAGATTAATCTTCCCTTCGAAGAGAGAAGACACATCCTCTGACCTGCAAAAATTTGTTGCCAATTAAGCTACCTGCAAGTTATATTGCAAACTTTAAAAAATTCATGCAGAACACTTCATATTCGGAAAAATAGTTTTTTTCCCGTTACTTATTTTCCTTCTTTTCTTTTCTTCTGCATTTCTCTTTGTTCAAACGTAACATCTAATAATGAGTACTTACTTTTTATTATAAGCCGTGGAATTCGCATGGCTTATAAAAATAGATGATGAACATGATTTTATTTATCTGTTGGTGGGACGATGATTTAGATCGGGAAGAAGAGATAGAGCAGAGACAGAAAACTGAGAAAAGAATGTTGAAATGATTAATATAAAAATATAATAAATAAATAAATTTAATGTATACGGGCCAGCCTCCAAGGCTTCAAGGCCGGGCTTGGCTATGGAAGCCTGAGACCTTTTAAATAAAAAGATTTTTGCATGAGTATAAGTCTGGGCTTAATAATAAAAAAAGACGAACCGAGCCGAACCGAAACGGACCGGGCCTAAGGCCCCTGATAGGCCCTTGGCCTTATTATCACCCCTAGTAACAACTAATAATGAGTACTTACTTTTTATTTTATTTTTTTGGAAAAATTATACATTAGAAAATAATGTTTGTAAATTATCTGCCAATAAGAAATACACATATGTTTTAATAAAATTGTTCGAATCATGTG